CAGGGCATCTCGGAGCCGGGAACACCATCCAGCGGATCCGCGACTGCTTCCACTGGCCGGGCTTGGAGGCTGAAGTGAAGCGGTTCTGCCAAGCCTGCCTGACCTGCCAAGTGACATCACCCAGGATGCCTACCCCCAGTCCGCTGATACCGCTGCCCATCATCTAGGTGCCCTTCGAGCGCATCGGGATGGACCTTGTGGGGCCGTTGCCTAAGACTGCCCGGGGATATGAACACATCCTGGTGATCGTCGATCATTTGGGAAGGAACAGCGGGAGGACGACAGGCTGAAGCATGGACGGACTCAGGTCCGGGTCATCAAAGGCAAGGAGGTTCAGCCTGGTCCCCACCCTCTCCTGCATTTCGTTGTGCAAAATGGCCTGCTGTACTGTGCCTCGCAGTGAAGGGGGGAGGAAAAATTGTTGTTGGTGGTGCCACGCACCAAAACGGAGACCGTACTGGAGCTGGCTCACTCCCATCCCTTGGCAGCGCATCTCGGAGCCGGGAACACCATCAAGTTGCCCGACCTGCCAAGTGATGTCACCCAGGACGCCTCCCCCAAGTCCGCTGATACCGCTGCCCATCATCGAGGTGCCCTTCGAGCGCATCGGGATGGACCTTGTGGGGCCGTTGCCTAAGACTGCCCGGGGATATGAACACATCCTGGTGATCGTCGACTATGTAACCCGGTACCCTGAGGCAGTGCCCCTCCGAAAAGCCACCACCACAACCATTGCCCAGGAACACTTCCTGCTATCCAGCCGAGTCCGCATCCCAGCGGAGATCCTGACCGATCAGGGGACCCCCTTCATGTCCCGGCTAATGGCTGACCTCTGCCGGCTGCTGCGGGTGAAGCAGTTGAGGACCACCGTCTACCATCCCCAGACCGACGGACTGGTCGAACGCTTCAACCAAACCCTCAAGCAGATGCTGAGACGGGTGGTCGTGGAGGACAAGCGCGACTGGGACCTGATGCTCCCCTATATCCTCTTCGGGATCCGCGAAGTTCCGCAGGCCTCAACTGGCTTCACCCCGTTCGAGCTCCTCTTTGGCCGGCAACCCCGCGGCCTCCTGGATGTGGCAAGGGAGGCCTGGGAGCAACAGCCGGCAGCCCATCGCTCTGTGATCGAGCAAGTCAGACAGATGAGGGAAAGGATCGACCGGGCATGCCATTAGTCCGGGAACACTTGACGAAAGCGCATCAGGCTCAACAGCGCCATTATAATCAGGCAACCCAACCACGGGAGTTCCAGCCTGGAGACCGAGTCATGGTCCTAGTCCCCAATGCTGCCTGCAAGTTCCTGGCCACCTGGCAGGGTCCCTACATGGTGCTGGAAAGGATTGGGCTGGTGACGTACCGTGTGTGCCAGCCAGGGAGGAGGAGAGCCGAGCAGCTCTACCACATCAACCTGCTGAAGAAGTGGGTGGGGACTAGAGACCAGCTCGCGGCCCTTGCCGTCTCTGATCCCGTGGTTGTTGACGTCAACCCCCACCTCTCAGCTGCCCAGAGGAGGGAGCTGCAGCACCTGGTCGGTTAGTTCTCGGATGTTTTCTCTGCTCTGCCCGGGCGGACCAGCGTCCTGCAGCATGACATCCGGACGCCGCCAGGGGTCGTCGTCAGGCAACGGCCCTACCGGGTCCTTGAGGCCTCTTCGGCAAGCTATTGAGGAGGAAATCCATCAAATGCTGAAGTTGGGGGTGATAGAACCATCCCGCAGCCCGTGGTCCAGCCCAATCGTGATGGTCCCGAAACCGGA